AGATTAAATCGCGATGGACGGCTCAGATTAAAAGTGGAAGTTTATAAATAATCTCATATACACCCAAACCCTAACCCTAGCCGCCAGAGCCCTCGCCGGAGAAGACGGCCCAGCCACCGGGGAGCCGACCGCTGCCACCCGCCGCCACACCGGAGCACTTTCTGGCCACTAAACGAGGTAAAAATTCTCCCATTAGCTCATAATTCGATTCTAAACCCACCTGTGGTAAAATCGGAGCCAAAACACTGGCCAATTGGCCGAAAAACGCCGCCACAGGTTTTCTCGGGTTTTACCTCCGATAAAGCCCTTCCCGATTCTTGTTCGATATAATTTTTACACCATTGTGACCACCGTTCCTTCCTCTACAGGTTGACCGGAGCAAAACACCAAATCGTAATTTGAGCCGGAGTAGTCGTCGCACCGGAGAGCCCCACCGCCAGTAAGTTTCGATTTTTGGTATTTTTTCGACCCACAGAGGGCCCTAGGAGTGTTTTCTCACAGGAACCAATGCAAGTTTGGCTGAATTCGGCCGAAAACGGTCAGAAACGACCAACCCGAGGTGGATCACAGCCGCAAGCGGCGATGCCGTCGCCAGAGCACGGCAAAGCCGCCGTGTCGGAGTTCTGAAATTGGCCGAATAGGCCTTGGGTCTGATTTTTTTGTTATTTGGGACATGTGTAGGTGCCATAAACGCATTTCAGTTCTCGAAAAAAATTCATGAAACCCAGGGACTGCTCGTATGCGCAGTAAAAATCCAGTTTTTGACTTCGAATCAGGTAAGGACCCCTCAACCTATTTCCTATCATGGGATTAAAGTCTAATAAGTGATAAAACTGTATTTTATGAATTATATAGATACGCGTAGTTTATTACGGTTGTTAATGGAGACCGAATCAGACGTATTTCTCTGTCAGTTCCTGTTTAGTTTATTTTACAGTTTTAAATGCAGTATGGTATCTGTTTTATTTATTCTATGGTTTTGAATGCATGAATCACTGCTTACTTTATTTCGACCTGATTTCGTGAATCTAATAATATGCTTACCTTGTTGGGTGCTCGTTAATTGTTTAAGTATTCATGTTTATGTGGGAAATGGAAAACTAAGAAAAAAATAGAAAATGTATGTGAATTGATAAATGGATAAGTTGACAGCCTCACTAAATATCTTGGGAGATGGTGGACGGACCGAGTCCATAAGGAACCCTACCGGGAACGTTGTCTCATACCGGACGGGGTATGGAGACTTTAAATATTTTGG